GATGAAGCAACTTGAAGAATGCCAGATTTGGGAAGTATGCTGTAATGGATCCAGTACTCATCCATTAAGAGGGAGATTCTAATGTATTTTGGTGCCATCCTTTCCCATTCAAAACCTTTGCCACATTTATAGAGTTTTATTTTGTTGTTTCTTAGCCTGATTACATGGTAAATATTTCTGTGGATTTTACTCCGCTAGTCGCTGCTGACAAGAGGGGGAGATGCTCCTCTCTGTTTCAAGGCCATTGAGCCAGCGCTGTCCAAAGACATTTCTGTGGTCATGTGGCCAGCATGACGTCACAGATTGCTGTTACGTTCCCACCAAAGTGGTACCTATTTATCTACTTGCATTTGCTTTCTAACTGCTAGGCTGGCAGGAGGTGGGGTGAGAACGTTGCATGGCACTTAGGTCTCGAACCTGGGCTGCCGGATTTCCAGTCAACAAGCCCAACATCTTACATGGTACAGATATAGGATTGCAAAGATAGGAACAGAAGAGAGCAGGAAAAAAGGAATTTCTGTTTTGTCAATTCATAAAGTGATATTCCCAGGAAAACAGTGTTAAGTATAGTGGCAAGATTTGGGAATGACTCTGTTGTCGCAATAAGTGAGACAATAGAATAAAGGCTCAGTAAAATACAATAACTGACATTTCAAATTCTTTCCACATCTCCCAAAAAGTGGGATCCGAGGGGAGGATATTTTGTCACTTGGCTCAGTGAAAGATGTGGGCAGGGAGATTTGCTATAGAACAACTCCAACAAGAAATATGGTCCCAAGCCCCCCTCCCTTCAATAGCTGTCAAAGAGCATTTACTGTATCAGCAGGTGTTGTCAGAGGCTGTCTAATACAGAAACCAAATCAATCTATCTGGCAGCCATTTTAGGAAAAAAATGTCTTAATAATAATATCAAGATACAAATGGCCTGCCACACAGATTTACACATGCCTTAGAGAAGGAGGCAGGGAAAGGAATAGGTAATTTCTTTGAACTAGGTTCACCATTCAGATTTTAAGATCACGTATGCTTTAAATTCAGCAACAACCACCACACACACACATACATACACACTCTAACACACTTCCCCTATATTCCAGCCCCACCTTTCTCCACATTTTTGGGGACAAATGTATCTGGTAAAGAAGGAGCAGTGTTGCCGTTAGCTGCAAGATGAAAAAAGTGTCACTTAATTATTCCAGCCATTTCTCGCTTTAAGGATCTTGAAGAAAAACCTGAGAAAATTCAGCAAAAATATCCACAGAATTATAGGCAGTACTAGAGGATCTTTTGGGGGCCCTCAAGAGACAGAGATAGGTATAAAAGCTAGGGAATTATCTTTATTGAGCCAGTTAAAAATTAACAACCACACTGGGATGATAGTAGAGGACAAAAGTTTGAGTGAAAGAGGCTGGACGTTCAGCATGGGATACAATAAAAATAGAGGTTAAAACAATCAATACAGTGTATGTAATAACACACCTTACCTCAAGTGTAGGTGGATTGTTTCTTCTTTTCTTCATCCATGCTAAGAAAGTTAAAAACAAAAAAATATTAAATATTTCCCATTCTTATATTTCCTTTGATACCTACTGTATATTAACAATATTTTATGAATTTATAAGCTCCCTTTCTGTATAACTTTAAAAAAAAGTTAAGTTATTTTTAACTTTTGCAAGTACTGTATTTTTCGGAGTATAAGATGCTCCGGAGTATAAGATGCACCCAGATTTTGAGGAGGAAAACAAGGGGAAAATATCTGCCATTGCCTCCCAGCAATTTGTCTCCTTGCAACAAACAGTACAGACAATATACACTGTTTGTCGTGTTATATTTCAGACTATACTTGTACGGATGCTGTTAAAATGTGCTTTCTGGAAGTATAGTTATTCTCTCTTATGCCATGGTTCTTAAGTGAATCATTGCAGTTGTTAAGTAAATCATGTGATTGTTATGCGAATTCAGCTTCCTCCCTTAACTTTGCTTGTTGGAAGCTGGTTGGAAAAGTCTCAAATCATCATTAAATTTGTTTGCCACCCATCTCAGGACAATCATGTGTCCCCAGAATGCAGCAACTCTCATAAATACATGCAAGTTATCAAGTGCTTGAAATTTGATGCTGTGGTGGTCGTAAGTGCGAGGGCCAGCCATAAGTCACTTTTTTCACAGCTGTTGTATCTTCAAATGGTCACTAAATGAATGGTTGTAAATTGAGGACTACCTGTGGCCAAAATTATGGGGGGAGGGGGAGGAATCAACAAACAATAATATAATTTCATTATCATCAGTGAATTTAGCACTAATTTTAAAACAGCTACAGAAGCAACATTATAAAGTCCTAAATTAAAAAAACAAACTTTAAAAAAATCCAGAACAAATCAGCCCTATTAGAAATATTCCATCAGAATAAAACAAATGTTTTTTCATTACCAAAAATTAAAATCTTTCACCAACTTTACTATAGGTTCGGTAATAAGCAGCACTCAATATAAAATGTTCCACATGATTAAAAAAAAATTGGATCTAGTATAACAATATCAACAAAAAAAGAATCTGAGTTTGTTTCAAATTCCTCTTAGCTCGTGCTAACAGAAAAGTTAAAGCAGACTCTCCCAGCATAACCATTCAATTTTCTCACTCCTTTGTGGCAGGCAGTACTTGTCTTTAAAGCTAGAGAAATATAAATCTATTTTTTTTACCTCTGAGAGCAAAAGGCATTGTTTCTTCTTTATAAGATTAACAGATAAACATCCTAGATAAGCTATCTCAGCTAGGACATCTGATGTGAGATAAGGAAGGCTATTACTAAAGAGGTAAAAAGTGGTGAAGTCTGTACTGGAGCTCTATTAACAGCAAAAAGACAAGCAGGAAAAATATATTTGGGTCTGTTCTATTAACTTTCTAGTGCTAAACTAGATTGCTAAATTGAGCTCTTCTACTCAAGATAACAGAACAGGACACTAGTGGAAGGGATAAATCTGATTTATTCTGGAAAATATGCTTCAACTTTTAATTATACAAGAAGACAGTTATTCTCTGCTTTCCTAAGATTATGGTAAAAACTGATGTAAATGAATTTACTTATCAGATCATAATTATATCTAATGTAGTAAAACTAGTATTGGACTTTTAGACAGTTAGCTATTTCTTTTTATTAATCATAGTTTCCCAATATTTAACTATTCACATCCCCACCTCCTAACTCCACTTTGCTTTATTTTTACAGCCTTAAAATGTATTGATGAGTTTATCATTTTTATGATCATAATCGATTAGATTTATTATGGCCATAGGCTCCAAAATAGTTATGTTCCTCTTGTATATCATTTTAGTTCAACATTTGTATCCTGTCTTTGAGAGACAATTCAGCCTAGCAGTTAAGACACCAGGCTAGAAACCAGGAGACTAGGAATCCTAGTTCCACCTTAGGTATGAAAGCCAACCAGGTGACCTTTAAGTTCACCTAGCTGGCTTTCACACCCAAGTTCAACAACAACTTGGGCCAGTCAGTTTCTCAGTCTGTGATGTGGGGCAACTCCTGTTGCAACCAATGGGCCAATATTTGGTTGATCTGAAAAAGAAGACCCTGAATTTGTGGGAAAATGCATACCCTGTTTTTTTTTATAAAAAAATCCTGCTTAGAATGCAGTATTGCAGGCTACTCTGCCAACTGCCAGGAGTTTGATCCTGACTGGCTTAAGGTTGATCAAGCCTTCCATCTTTCCGAGATCGGTAAAATGAGGAGCTAGATTGTTGAGGGCAATGTGCTGACTCTGTAAACTGCTTAGAGAGGGTTGTAAAGCACTGTGAAAAAGTATTTAAGTCTAAGTGCTATTGCTGTTATGAAATAAATGGAAGCATCTCTACATTAAACAATCATCATAAGTATTCAATAACAATATATTATAAAACAATTGTCTTCAGTATAATTTTAAGGTGGGCAGGGGATGTGCAAGCCAGATTATTATTTTTTTGCAGATCACTGAAAAATCTATGAATATGAGAAAATTTATTACATATTTAATTTAGATAAAATATATAATAAGGTAAATTATATGAATGAGGAAGTGAGAGACTGAATTTACCTAACAAAAGGGAGGTAAGAAACACATAAAAAGACAACGTGTGAAGATCCTTTCCTTCTTTTGTCTCTTATCGTGTGCTCTAGTGGGCGAAAAGGCTGATTGGTACAAAGAGATGATGTCATCTCCAACAAAGGAAGATGGGAGAACATAGCCTATTGCAAGGAATGAATCTTAGTTGAAATAAGTGAAAATAGTTGTGTACAAGAATGTATTTTTGTCCGCTTTGATATATGGATATGAAAACAGGGTGTTTGTTAGAAGAAACACTGAAGATGAACGTTGTGGGAATTGATTTCTTAAGAAGCAAATGTGATAAAACAGAAGAAATAGGGTCAAGTATGAATGGGAGAAGAATTGGATAGCAAAGAAAGTGACCATTTTGAAAGTAGTACACTGAGATGGTTTGATCATACAGAGTAAAGGACAATTAACTCAGAGAAGAAACACAGGAAAGAAGTGTGAATGAGTCAAGAGAAAGAGGAAGAAAGAACACAATGTGGTTTCTAAAAAAGGGATAAATGAGAAGGCAATGTATGAAGTACGTTTACTTACAGAAAACAAAGAGTTTGTCAGGACCAAAAGATATAGAGAAATATGATGAACAGCACTGAAGTAAGGCACACTAAGTAGTATTTCTTTTATTTTCATACCTACAATATATACGTAAGTAAAGTAGTTTGCAATATTTGGATCCAAACATGCTGAGGTACTTTGGAATTGGCAGGGAGACCTTCACAGTACTTAACCAGCAGCTATGCCTTTTCCTCACACAGTAACTATACAGGCTTAGGAAAACATGTTTTAATTTTTAAAGTTTATATAACTCGAGCAATTGCTGACAAGTGCCCATACCAGACCCAAAGTATCTCTGCTCACCCTGAAACAGAACACGGTACATCTTTGTATGCTGAATATTTTCATCTTTAATATTTTTCTATTTTTTTGTATTAGAGATCAAGGTGCATTAATTGAAAGACTGAGTACTAGCTGAATAAATATCCTAATCAACAATGTATTTCTATCCTAGACTTTTTAAACCATGATGTCCAGTTGTAAATATATTAAGAAGCTATGTTTTTTAAGTTGTTTTTTTTATAAAGCAATTCTAAAAAGTGACCATCATCGGCTTAAGAAGTGATGACATTGTTTAAAAAGGCCAGGACTGAAGCACCGAAGCAGATCTTTGCAAGAAAAATTAATATACATAATTGTCTTCCATTTTAAAACAAATATTAAAATTATTTTATTCATCCAAATTATTTTAATTTGTTCTGACTTAAAAATGCCAACCTGAATGAGATAGACTTGGGAGCTTATTTAAAGGAAAGCAAATAATTCAAAATAAACTCCTCCAATAAAATATTGTATCGTTCAGAACACTATTTTCTTTACTATCCCCAAGAAAAGAAAATAGTGATCTGTTTCCCAGCAGAAACTGTATTTCTGCTGGGAAAGGATCAGTTAGACTGACGATTATCAGCATAAAATGAGATAATGAAATGATAAATAAATGGTTTTAATACTAGATTCACCACTAAAGCAATATTGATGCCTATTTTTACTGTTGAGTTCTCTAATATTAATTCACACATCTTTCACGATCAGCTACAAATGAATTTAAAAATGAGTAATAATGCAATTTCATTATGACAAGAAGCTATCTCAGAGATTTCTTTGCTTCCTTATTCTTCAAAAACATAGTATCCCAATATATACTACTCAGTATATTCTAACTTGGCTACTATTGATTGATTATCTGTCATCAAGTCATTTTTTACTCCTAGCGACCACATAGATAAGATCTTCTCCATGATGGTTTATCCTTAACTTGTTCCTGCATGCATTCCAACAGTACTGATTGTGAAAGCTATTAGCCTATATAATCCACTAAAATAATAAATCTCTCCCTCCCCCCATGAATAAATCCTTTTATTGGAAGTTAGTAATTCTCAAAGAATTTCTGTTACAGCATATGAATTGCACAAGAAATTTCTACTTCAGTTTAGAAAAAAAATGATGAAATAAAAGCAGAGCCAATTTTAGTAATTGTTAGTAGAACTGTCCCTTGTTCTTCAAATTTTGAAACATAGCCAATGTGTCATCTGTTTTTAGAAAAAAAAANTAAAAAGGGAGTTTGGGCTATTGCAATAATATGTACAGAATAATTATCTTGCAAAATACACAGAATGAGATTTCTGATTTGGAAAAAGAGACGTTAAGCAAGTCAACACAGTTCAAAGTGAGGAAGCATCAAATAAAGCAAATCAAGGAAAAAGATGACAGATGCATGCTGATGGCTTGCAGCAAGAACCTGAATATGAAAAAAAATCATATATGATATGATCATTGTTATACTGAAAATGGGTATTATAGAAGTGCCAAATAAGGCACTTACAAGAAAAATTACAAACATCTGGGTCATTTTGATTAAATAATCAGGTAG